AGGGAGCCTGGGAGAGGGGGGATCCACGGAGAGGAGCCACAAAGGACACCAAGGCACTAGGAAAAAAAGCCCCAAGCCTATAATTATCTTCTCAGAAAAGACAGCCAGTGCCTTCAAGTCTTTGAGCCACAGCTTATAGAAAGGATATAGAGGCTAAGCAACCCTTTCCTTCTCTCCTCCTCTCTCTGGACGGGGACTAGGGAAAATGGGCAATTGTGCGGCGTGGACACTGAAGTAAAGGTCTCTTAACGACGTGGACCAGGTATGAGGGCACGTCTCGGAATTTGCTTGTCTGGTAACTTTGAGGTTTGATAGGTTCTTGAAGATCGGGGTGAGTAGGTAGGCTGAATTTGGAAGTTAGTGACTTGAGTTATACACTGTCAGCCTGGAACCAAATCTCCCGGTCTCTGTACCCCCACCCACACCGCCGTGGCTGCTGTGGCCCAGCCCAGGGGCTCTTCAACTGCCACCCCAGGCTCTGCTTTCCTCAGCAGCACTGGCCTCCAAACTGTCAGCCCCCTGAGAGCACCAATGTCACCCCTTGCTAACTTGGCAGCTAGTCTCATATAATTAACGGCGGTAATGGAGTTCCAGCTCCATCTAGGTAACACAGGAATTTAAAATAGTCAAGTGGCAGAAAGCTTCATGCAAAGGGGGCTCTAAATCATCTTTTTAGTGAAAAGAAAAGTTATTTTTCATTTACCTGAATACTCTCTAGCTACAATTTAAACCAGTTCCCCTCTGCAAGGTGTTCTGTGTCCAGTTAACCTGTCCAAATAATACTCAGGTATTTGGACATGTACCTTAGTTTCTATTTCTTTTAAAACTAATGGCTATCTTCCTGTTAACCCTATTCTTCTAAAGGCCTGCTTCTAAAGCATCACCTGGGAACTTGTAGAAAATTTAGATACTAAGTCTCTATCCCACACCTGCTTAATCACAGATCCTGGGGGTGCAGCCAAGTGACCTGTGTTTTAACATTCTCCAGGTGATTCCTATGCAAGCTCAAGTTTGAAAGTCACTGTTCTAAAATATATAGCAAAGGGTTAAAAGTACCTGACTGATATTAAGCAAAGTGGAGAGCACATTCTGACTCTTCCATCCCACTCTGCTATTAATACGTCAGGGCTCTGTCCTGGAAAAAAAGCAGAAGAGCATGTACATCTTGGAGATGCAGGATAATGGAAGACACATTTATTGAGTGTCTACAATTTGCCAGTCACTGCCTTTACACATATGGTCCTATTTAATCCTTAAATGTATGAGGCTGTTACTAGTCTTACCAGATGCGAAAACCACGCTCAGAGAGATTAGGTTAATTTGCCTAAGGACACAGATGCTAAGTAATGCACGGGATTTGAGCCCTAGTCTAAGTCAAATGTCTTTTTCATCCAAATATGATTCCTATGTAAGAGTCATGAGTGGCAAATTCATACATGCAAAAGGAATCCAACATCACTGTGCATCATTATTCTTTTGAAATTGTACAGATCATACTGTGTGTCTGACCAAGGAATGCCATCTTGCACTTTTTAATTTTTTTAATTTCAGCATAGTGTGAGGGTACAAATGTTTAGGTTATGCATATTGCCTTTGCCCCACCTGAGTCAAGCTTCAAGCGTGTCCATCCCCCAGACAGTGCGCACTGCACCCATTAGGTGTGTATATACCCATCCCCTCCTCCGCCCCCCTCATCTGTCCAACACCCGATGAATGTTATTCCTATATGTACACTTAAGTGTTGATCAGTTAATACCAATTTGATGGTGAGTACATGTGGTGCTTGTTTTTCCATTTTTGGGATACTTCACTTAGTAGAATGGGTTCCAGCTCTTTCCAGGATAATACAAGAGGTGCTATATCACCATTGTTTTTTGTGGCTGAGTAGAACTCCATGGTATACGTAGACCACATTTTCTTAATCCACCCATGTATCGATGGGCACTGGGTTGTTTCTGCATATTTACAATTTTGAATTGTGCTGCTATAAACATTCTAGTGAAGATGTCTTTTTTATAGAATGTCTTTTGTTCTTTTGGGTAGATGCCCAGTAAGGGGATTGCTGGATCAAATGGTAGTTCTGTTTTTAGCTCTTTGAGGTATCCCCATATTACTTTCCACAGAGGTTGCACTAGTTTGCAGTCCCATCAGCAGTGTGTGAGTGTTCCTATCTCTCTGCATCCACACCAACATTTATTGTTTTGGGGACTTTTTGATAAAGACTATTCTCACTGGAGTTAAGTGATATCTCATTGTGGTTTTGATTTGCATTTCCCTGATGATCAGAGATGTTGAGCATTTTTTCATGATTGTTGGCCATTATTCTGAATTCTTTTGAAAAGTTTCTGTTCATATGCTTGGCCCACTTTTTAATGGGGTTGTTTGATTTTTTTTCTTGCTGATTTTCCTGAGTTCTATATAGATTCTAGTTATCAGCCCTTTATCAGATGTGTAACATGTGAATATTTTCTCCCATACTGTAGGTTGTCTGTTTGCTCTTATGATCGTTTCTTTGGCTGTGCAGAAGCTTTTTAATTTGATAAGGCCCCATTTATTTATTTTTGTTTTTGCTGTGATTGCCTTTGGGGTCGTCTTCATAAATTCTTTACCTAGGCCAATGTCTATAAAAATTTTTCCAACATTTTCTTCTAGAATTCTTATAGTTTCACGCCTTAGGTTTAAGTCTGTTATCTACCATGAGTTGACTTTTGTGAGAGGTGAAAGGTGTAGATCCTGTTTCAGTCTTCTACATGTGGCTATCCAGTTTTCCCAGCACTGTTTATTGAATAAGGATTCTTTTCCCTAGTGTATGTGTTTGTCTGCTTTGTCAAAGACCAGATGGCTATATGAGGATGGTTTTATATCTGGGTTCTCAATTCTGTTCCATTGGTCTATGTGTTTGTTCTTGTGCCAGTACCATACTGTTTTAGCTACTGTAGCCTTGTAGTATAGCTCAAAGTCTGGTAAATGGATGCTTCCCAATTTGTTCTTTTTGCTTAAGATTGCTTTTGCTATACGGGGGTCTTCTCTGGTTCCATATGAAGCATAGAATTATTTTTTCTGGATCTGTGAAAAATGATGTTGATATTTTAATAGGGATTGTGTTGAATCTGTAGATCACTTTGGGTAGTACAGACATTTTAACATTGTTGATTCTGCTGACCCATTAGCATGGTATGGTTTTCCACCTGTTTGTGTCCTCTATTTTCTTTCTCAATGTTTTGTAGTTCTCCCTATAAGGTCTTTCACCTCCTTAGCTAAATATATTCCTAGGCATTTTATTTTATTTGTTGCTGTTGTGAAGGGTATTGAATCTTTGATTTGGTTCTCAGTTTGACTATTATTGGAATATACAAATGCTACTGATTTCTGTACATTGATTTTGTAATCTGAGACTTTGCTGAATCTGTTTATCAATTCCAGTAGTCTCATGGCAGAATCTTTGGGGTTTTCTAGTTATAAGATCATACTGTCAGCAAAGAGCGATAGTTTGACCTCTTCTGCCCCCCCCTCCCCCCGCCCCTTTGGATGGCCTTGATTTCCTTCTCTTGTCAGATTGCTCTGGCTAGGACTTCCAGCACTATGTTGAATAGAAGCGGTAATAGAGGGCAACCTTTTCTGGTTCCAGTTCTAAGTGGGAATGGTTTCAATTTTTCCCCATTTAGTATGATGTTGGCTGTGGGTTTGTCATATATGGCTTGTATCATCCAGAGATGCAGGGATGGTTCAACATATGCAAATCTATAAATCTATAAATGTAATTCACCACATAAATAGAAGCAAAAACAAAGACTATATGATCCTCTCAATAGATGCAGAAAAAGCATTCAACAAAATTTAACACCATTTTATGATAACACTTAACAAAATAGGCATAGATGGGCCATCTTGCACTTTAATCTCAATCTTTTTCATGCTGGGGAAGCAGCAGCTGACAGTTTTGGTTTTTTGTTTGTTTTTGAGATAGGGTCTCACTCTGTCACCCAGCCTAGAATGCAGTGATTCAGCTCATTGCAGCCTCAAACTCCTAGGCTCAACTGATCCTCCTGCCTCCATCTCCCAAAGGAGCTGGGACTACAGGTGTGCACTGTGACCAGCTAATTTTCCTACTTTTTTGTAGAGATGGGGTCTCACTCTTGCTCAGGCTGGCCTCAAACTCCTCACCTCAAACCAAAGTGCTAGAATTACAGGCATGAGCCACCTTGCTCAGCCCAGCAGTTGATACTTGAATGTTGCACTGTGGGATTAAAATCTGGGTTCAGATCATTGTTCTACATTTAACTAGAAGCAAATTGCCTAAAAGTTTGCAGGGCCTGTTTCCTTTGTCCATGGACTATCATTTTTATCCCCATCTGAGGAATTAGAAATCCAACCCAGCTTCACTTGCCCCAGATCCAGAACACAACCAACTGGCCTCCCAGGTCAGCTCATGGATGAAGACCTCCTACCCATGCAGGCCACTGGCACCTTGCCCAGGAACTCATGTGCCAAGCTCTGCAGAAATAACATATGGATTCTGTACCATGTAAGAATTATGGTCTAAACAGACCTTTTGAGCTTGTTCTTCAGAATATCTTGTGGCATCCAGCCTCATTCTAGTCCTGTAATTCTAGAATTGGTGAACCAAATAAAACGAAGAAACTCTACCGTCAGCTCCCAATTAGCTGCGCCACTGGAGAGGAGCAGTGACGTGGTAGATTAAAAAAAAATTGGTTCTGTTTGACTTTGGAAATGCATTGATTTTTTTTCAGTAGATTAACTTTTCTAATTATATTTTGCACAGTCTAATATTAACAGGCATTTGTATTCCCTGAGCACACAACATCTGACACTGAGAGCTGGGAGATGCAGCAGACAGTCCAAAAATGTGCTGGTCTCAGGGAATGGCAATGCTATGAAAAACCCACACATGGATAATGAAGACAGAATTAATCATAGAGTGCTCTGCAAATACTAAATCATAAACAAAGAAGGCAAAATAGGAATTCTCTACAGACATGTGGACAAGGAGTAAATACTAAAATTCTAAAAAGGACAAACTTTCAAGAAACATCTTTAATGTTAGTGGAGCTTTATGAAAAAATTAGGATGCAAGGGAGGGTCAATGAGTTATTGGGTTAGTCTTTCAAATAAGAAAACATCAAGCAATAATACCAAAGCATTTTAAAAGAGCGTTTAAAATGAATTTTATTGTTTGAATTTTACAAGTAGTCTTTAGAGGCTTCAAACAAGAACTCTGTTGCAAAACTCTAATAAATAGCTTGCCCCAAGTCCCCAAACAAAATGTAAAACAAAATGAAAACTAAACTCAGAAGGATAAGCAAGACTTCAGAATGCTTAGATGTTAGCAATATTTCTCATTTACAAAGAGAGATCAGGCAATGTACAATCTCCTTCATACAAGTCAAAGAAAGACAGACAATTGAAATCTTTACAAAGCACTCCGAAATCTTCTTATTTTCATGATAGAAATGTCACTAGAAAAAAAAAATCCCATGGAGAAATCACGATCATGAATGAAACTAGCATAAAAATCTGGTAGTGGGTATGGTGGGGAGAAGAGAGGAAAATCCATCCTGTTTCTTTCAGGGATGGAGAGAGGAAAGGAAGATTACTCGGGGCAGGGAACTTCTGAGCAGATGCCGCTAGATTGCTGAATGTTCCCTTGGATCAGAGCTGCCACTGAAGGGGCAGAGGGGTCAGGTATTTGACAATTATGAAGGCAAGAAACAAGGGGGAATCTCCTTAGGTCAGTCAACACTGGTCAGCCCCGTGTCTCTGAGCTCTACAGTAGCAAGGGCCTTGGAACCACGGGGCCCAAAGCAGCCTGCATCTCTTAAGACAGGAAAAATATAGCACATCAATAATTTCTGCAGCAGAATCCTTTGGATGGCCACAAAAAGATGCAGAAAACACCGTGCTCAAATTTCACACTTGGACATGCAGATTTCAAAAGCCCATTCTATTCTCACAGTCGTTGCTCCTAACAAGCAAGGATTAAAATTCACAATTAAACGTTTACTGTTAGCTTGTCCTAGTTACAAATACTGGTGAAATCTTGCTCTGGAGAGAAGGATTTATTAATTGATTAATATAGTCATTTTGAGCAAGCTAAAGAAAAAACAATTTTGCCAGTTTTATCTTTAAAAAAATCTTAACTATATATACTTTTGATCAAAATGCATTAAAAATGCATATGAAATAATAAGGTTTTAGTTTGGGGGAATTTTGAAACCAATTAATGTTTGGAGCCAGGAAGCTGCAGAGGGCTTGATTACAATCTAGTGGGGCTCACTTAAGCCAAGCAAAAGAGAGCCCTGGCTCTGAGCAGCACACCTGGGATCATCTCTCTGGGGAAAGGCAGGAAGTGACCTCACAATGCAGGATTGAAAAAGGGGTGTGGCCTGCAGGCACCATCTCTCCCTGGTTCACTGACTTGCTGGTAAATAACCCCAATCCGGCCGATCTTGGAAGACAGGTACAGACAGCACTAGCTCATGCACAAGTCATTCACGGGAGGTAGGCATTTTCTCAAAGCAACTCCCTCTCCAGGCATTTTAGGAAAGAAGGTAAGGAAATAGCCCTCTCCACTCCCCAAACAAGTTTTTTTAAAAAAACTTTATTTTCCTAGGAACAATGACATTCATCAGGATAACAAGGGAAAGCTTGGGTTACCTGAAATAGATTAAGAAAGCTGATGGAAATAGAGGCAGATGGGCCAGGGGGCACCCTGGTCCTAGGCCCAGTTTCTTCTTAAATACACAACAGATAAAGATATTGTGCAAAAAAATAAAGACATTCACATTTTAGCAGTTAAACTTTTATTTTACTTTTTAAAATTTTTATTTACTTTTTTTGTTTTTCTTTTCTACAAAAGGCAGATAATGATTGTTGATCTGCAATTGTCGTGTTGTGCGCTCCCCAAAAGGGGGCAGAGCAGGGAGCTCTGAGAATGCTCTCCATGGCCTGAATAAGGAGTTCCAATGCGCTCACGGGAGAAAGCATCCCCGGGCCCTCCTCCTGCCCACCTCAGCCTTCCCTAGCTCATGTCTATGGTGTTGAAGACCCATTCCGTGAACTTCTTCAGCTTGTCCGAGGCATTCTGGGACTCCTCCTGTAGCCTCAGGTTGTCCTCTCGCAAGTGCTGAACTTCTGCCTGGAGGTGGGCTTTGTCTTCTTTTTCCTGGGAGGCAGAGCAAAGTAGGAAAGAACTAAGAGGTGTGGCCCACCTTGCCCAGCTCTTAGGAGCACTGACTGTAGATCTGTTTCCACCCTTTACCCAATTCTCTCCTTCATTCCACTAATCAGCTGTATAAACAGCCTGGGACCAGGTGCTAAGACACTCTAGAGAGGCTAGGCCTAGGAAACAGGGCTTCCGGAGAGATAACCCTACAGGACTAGCTTGGGATTTAAATACATTAATGTGTATTTTAAAGTCTTTGTTAATAAGGACTATCTTAAATTCTAGGCAACTGATCTGGTGGCTGCTGTCTTGGGATAGTCAAAGCCACCCAAGAAAATAAACAACATTCAGTTCTCTTGGTGCAGATAACAACAACTGCATGGGAATCTGGGCTACTGACACCTTATACAAGGGCTGGGGAGGCTGGGAGAGGGCCCAGAGGGGGCTGGCTGAGGTTCAAAGGCTTTCACAAAACAGGGAACAATTTTTCTGTGCACGTGACAACAAAGGCCTTCTTGCACTGTGTGTTCCAGTGGGAACTGAGCTCCCCGCAGCCCCCGAACACGTGCATACACACGGAAAACACCCACATCTTACCCCACTCACACTACTTAAAAAGGGCTCTCACAGTTCAAGGGCAGTTTGTGTAGACTGGGCAATTTGCTTTGAGACTATGAGGTTTACCTTCTTTAAATCTTCCCGAAGCATCTTCAGCATACCTTCCAGCTGGTCCACTTTGGAAGCCAGAGTGGGAGAGGAATCTTTACTGTTGGGAACAAGAAACAAAAGACTACGTTTGCAGGAGCCTCCATGGCTGGGTTTGTGTGTGTGTGTGTGTGTGTGTGTTTTTAAATCTGAGGAGGCTGTATTGGTAAAATGGTTTTCAATGTCAAATTTCTCAGTGTGGTGACCCAATGTGTGTTTTTACTTTACAAAAGGAAATGGTAATCTTAACAAAAGGTAAAACAAGCTTGAACTACAGCCAATCAATAGCTTCCTTTGTTAAAGATGCTGCATCCTCACAACAAAAGAATAAAGGACAATAGTGAAAATGATCTCTTTGTCAGCACAAGAGGTACTTTCCAGCAGACACAATTGTCAAACAGGAAAATGACTGCTCAGAGAGGCTTTGGGATCTCTTTAGTGGGCTTTAAAAGAGAAGAGCTACTCCTCTGTGTGTGGGGGGGAAGAGGTTTGTGGCTGATGTGGGGTCTGCCCAGCTAGAGTAGGTCTCTGGTTCCCAAGAAAATAATCTTAGCCACATGTGTAGTTGCAGCTAAGTTATTGTACCTACATCTTAAACACTAGTCTAAATATCTTAAAATATTTAAAAAAACAAGACTACATGTTTCACAAGCTTGTCAGTCTCAGCCTGATGTCTTCAATTCTGTGCTATTACGATAAGCAAACAATTTTCTTATTTTTTCACACTGAAGTGTGAGCAGGGATGGCACAGCTGGGCATGTCCCAGCCCCATGGCCCCGCGGCTTAGGGCCTCTGATAGCTTTTCTTCCCACACTCTCCTCTACCTGAATTCAAGTTTCCTGAGTGATTTCTAGCCAAGTCTTTTTTTTTTTCATCTTTATTATTTAACTAGTTCAAATAAGGAACAAACTTTGTGAGAGCCAGAACCCAGATTCTTCATTTTTATTTATGTATTTTTTAATTCAGGATATTACAGGGGTACAAACATTTTGGTTACATGTAATGCTTTTGCCTAGCCCAAGCCAGGGCTACAAACGTGTCCTTCCCCCCCTACAATGTGCTCCACTTCCATTAGCTGTGGGTTTTCCCCTCAACACTTGACCAGTACCCCAAGAGTATTGCTACCATGTGAACACCTTAGTGTTGATCAGTTAGTACCAAAATTTGATGGCGAGTACATGTTTTTCCATCCTTGTGACAGATACCTCACTTTGAAGTATGGGCTCAAGCTCTATCCAGGAAAATAAAAGAGGTGCTAGTTCACCATTGTTTTTTGTAATTGACTAGTATTCCATGGTATACATATACCACATTTTATTAATCCACTCATGTATGGATGGGCACTTGGGTTGTTTCCAGATCTTTGCAACTGTGATTTGTGCTGCTATAAACATTTGAGTGCAGATGTCTTTATTACAGAATGTCTTTTTTTCCTTTGGATAGATGCCTAGTAGTGGGATTGCTGGATCAAATGGTACTGTTTTTAGCTCTTTGAGGTATCCCCAAATTACTTTCCACAGGGGTTCTATTAATTTGCAGTCCCACCAATAGTGTAAGAGTGTTCCTATCTCTCCACTTCCACGCCAGCATTTGTTATTTTGGGACTTTTTGATAAAAGCCATTCTCACTGGAATTATGTAGTATCTCATTGTAGTTTTGATTTGTATTTCCCTAATAATTAGAGATGTTGAGCACTTTTTTATATGTTTGCTGGCCATTATTCTGTCGTCTTTTGAAAAGTTTCTGTTCATGTCTTTTGCCCATTTATTGAGGGGGTTGTTTGATTTTTTTTCTCGTTGATTTTCTTAAGTTCTATATAGATTCTTGTTATCAGCCCTTTATGGGATGTGTAGAAACCAAATATTTTCTTCCATTCTGTAGGTTGTCTGTTCACTTTAATGATAGTTTCCTTGGCTGTGCAGAAGCTTTTTAATGTGATCAGGTCCCATTTGTTTATTTTTGTTGCTGCTGTGATTGCTTTGGGGGTCTTCTTCATAAATTCTTTACCTAGGCCAATGTGTACAAGAGGCCAATGTCTTCCCAACATTTTATTCCAGAATTCTTAAGGTTTCATGCCTTAGATTTAAATCTGTTATCCACCATGAGCCGATTTTTGTGAGAGGTGGGGATCCAGTTTTAATCTTCTGCATGTGGATATCCAGTTTTGCCAGCACCACTTATTGAATAGAGATTCTCTTCCCCAGTGTATATGTTTGTCTGCTTTGTCGAAGATTAGATGACAATATGAGGATGGTTTTATATCTGGGATCTCTGTCCTATTCCAAAGGTCTATATCTCTGTTCTTGTGCCAGTACCATGCTGTTTTGGTTACTATAGCCTTGTGGTAAAGTCCTAAGTCTGGCAGACTGATGCCGCCTAATTTGTTCTTTTTGCCTAAGATTGCTTTGGCTATACAAGGTCTTCTCTGGTTCTAGATGAAGTGTAGAATTATTTCTAAATTTGCAAAGAATGGTGGTGGAATGTTGACAGGGACTGCATTAATTCTGTAGATCACTTTAGGTAGAATGGACATTTTTAACAATATTGATTCTGCCAATCCATGAGCATGGTAGAGATTTCCATCTGTATACATCTACAATTTCTTTTCTCAGTGTTTCGTAGTTCACCCTATATATATATATATATCTCACCTCCTTCATTAAATATATTCCTAAATATTTAATTTTCTTTGATGCTATTGTGAAAGGTGTTGCGTCTTTGATTTTTGGCTTGATTTATTGGTGTATATGAATGCCATTCATTTGTGTGCATTAATTTTGTATCCTGAGACTTTACTGAATTCGTTTATCAATTGCAGGAGTCTCTTGGTTGAATCTTTGGGGTTTTCTAGATATAATAGCATATCCTCAGCAAAGAGTGAGAGTTTGACCTCTTCTGCCCCTATTCACACACCCTTAATTCTCCTCTCTTGTGTGACAATGTTGAATAGAAGTTCTAGCCAAGTCTTGCAACCTGAGTCACACAAGAGAGAACCTGAAGTCTTTTATTGGGAAACCATGTAGCTGCCTCTTTCCAAAGGGGAAGAAGTAAGTGACTCTGAATTTTTTGGATCATGGAATAAAAGGTGTTATTTATTTTAAAAATCAAAGTAAGTTAGAACTGCACTGATATCTTCTGCTAATTCTATGACAGGCCCAAAAGGCGGAACCCACAGTGGTGTGGGGAGAGTAACAAGGCTGCAGGCTGATGGAATGGTAATGACCTCCAAACTTCTAAGACAGGGCAGCCAATTAAAAGCTGACGGTGAATGAATTTTAAAAAGGAAGAAGTCATCTGCCATCTACAACTGCACAGTAAGGCACAACAAGCTGGTCAGATTTTGGATGGCTTGAAGGTCAAAGAGGAGGTGAACAGGGCAGTGCTAGACAGGCGGGGGACCAGCTGTGTCCTTCACAAAGCCCCTGAAGGCTGTCAGCACTGAAGCAACTCTCAGTAGCTTATCTTGATGTCTAAAAGGTTCTTCAAAATGCATTCTGTGTCTGCAAGTGCACTGGTGATGTTTAAAGATGCATCTAATGCCATTTGCATTTGTTCAGTCCCCACTAAACACAGAAAAGAGCCAATCGTCACCCTTATCTCCTGATTCTGTAAGAACTCTTTCTCAGGAAACCAGTCTTGGCTCACTCAGATTTCTCTTTGTTAGAGGGCCCCATCCTAAGAAGGCACATTTTGGGCTCTCCTCTGACTCTGCAGATTTTTTTTTTGAAGTTCTCAGCAGCCAAACTGCAGCTCTCCTTACCACCCCCAGCAGGAGTGTGTTACATCATTAACAAACAAACCATCCATTACTCTTGCACCTTCTCTGCTGGGAGCACTTCCTTGCAGACATGTTCAGAGGAGTCCTCCAGCACATTTGTGCAATCTACATCAACCTTGCTTTTCTCGTTATTGTCTGTTTCTGACCAAGTTTTATAGATATACCTGGATTCTTATCATCCATGGAGGGAAGACTTCAAATTGATGAAATTATTCTGCATTAAGCAGTCCTTACTAAATGTCCCGTGGTTGACTACTGGGATGCTTTACATAGGATCAACAATGTCACTATTTGAAACAAAGGGGAAAATAGAAATATTGGTGTCTGCATGGGTACACAGACGTCATAAAGTCCATGCTCTTAACTCAGAAGAAAACCCTCTGGACATCAGTTATTGCTTATTTTTTATTTTACATGCCACCTTAACTGATCCAGCTTTCTAACATACAGACCTGAAGCAACACCTTGGGAGCTGCCTAAGACATAGCACATTTACAAGCATGACCATCAAGGACAGCTGGGGAAGACACTGAAACCAGACTCAAGGACTAAACAGCCCAGGACCCCGGATATCTAGTGCAATGATTTCTCTTACCTGACCTAATAAGCCCCAAGGGCATATGTATGTGGCATTAAATAATAATATTCATAATTACAACCTAATAAGCTCTCAAGAACAGTTTAATTATGTTTACAGTATTTTGTTATAAAGCATTCTAACTAAAATGTGAAGTGTCTTGCACTGCAGTGATAAGCTTCACTCTGGTTTTCCTCTGCTTTCCCCACATCTGCTGTCACTGGCAGGGGTCCCACATGGTGCAGAGGGTGCCCTCACCACGGATAAGGTGACCAACCTGCTGTAAGACTTCATCTGGGCCAGAGCCTGGTCCTCAAGCTGATCACCGCTGGATGCAGCACTCAAGGGGCGATGGTTTTCATCACTAGCAGCAAAAAATGAGGCTCTCTGGACTAGAAGGGAGATAAGAAACCGTTCAGTATCTTGGAATCCCATCCCTGGGCCCTCTCTAAGTCAGCACACAGTCTACACTGACAGTCAAGTCCGATCAATGCACAGTGATGCACTGGAAATCTAACTTCCCAACCCCCGTGATTTCCCTTTATAAAAGAGCTGTGAATCAATTTCTAGTCTCCCCTTTCTCTTGCTTATGAAAGTAGCATTCTGCTAACTCTTTCCCTGGAAATAGGTCTTGTGCCAAATTTCCACACCAAGGCTCAGCAATGATAGAAAAGCATTAAAGAGCTAGTATTAGGCTTCATAAAACTTCTTGAATAATGTTTTCCACGAGATGCCTGGCTACTATGGTGGGCTTTAACCTATGTCTATGCCACCTGTATTTTAAAATATACCACCTTAAAATTTAAGCAAACAAAATCAATTTTTAAAAAAATCTCCCATTAAAAAAAATAAATTTCTGCCATTTTATATGAAGCCGATTAACAAACAAACTGAAAAATTAAGTTAGTACCAGGGAACTTCAATTAGCCACATAAACATGAAGGAGGCAATGGGGATTAGTTGTTGCCTACTCCACCGTCACCCAACTGCTGAATTCTGTGGTCTGTCTAGTAAATTTCCCCCCCAAATTGGAACTTAACTGAACAGGAACTTTCTAATCTCCCAAGAGTGATTAAAAACAATCATCTGCAATCCTTTTTTTTTTTTTTTTTTTTTCCTGAGACAGAGTCTCACTTTGTTGCCCGGGCTAGAGTGAGTGCCATGGTGTCAGCCTAGCTCACAGCAACCTCACACTCCTGGGCTCAAGCAATCCTTCTGCCTCAGCCTCCCGAGTAGCTGGGACTACAGGCATACACCACCATGCCCGGCTAATTTTTTCTATATATTTTTAGTTGTCCGATTAATTTCTTTCTATTTTTTTTTAGTAGAGACGGGGTCTTGCTCTTGCTCAGGCTGGTTTCGAACTCCTGAGCTCAAACAATCCGCCCGCCTCGGCCTCCCAGAGTGCTAGGATTACAGGCGTGAGCCACCGCGCCCGGCCTTGCAATCCTAACTTTATAAAGAACATTTAAGCACCAAAAATGTTAGAATAACCTTAGAAAAAAGTCTTCACTCATAAAAGGACAGTTGAAAACCTACGACCACACACACTGCATTTCATTTTTATTTCAGATCAGATCAGCGCCAGTCTGAGGACCTGCATATAAGACCCACCAGCCTAAAGCGAGCACATAGCTAATGGGTTGGCAAAGGAATCACGCAGTCAGAAAACGTGCTACCGTGCACGGAGAGCTGAGTGGGAAGGGCAAGGAAAGCACCCAGCACGGTTAGGACTGGGGCCCCGCCAAGCAGGACTAGCATCCTGATGGATCCGACTGTGCATTTAGCAACAATGTCTTAACAACGTGATGAGAGACCCTGGCTGGATACATGATCTTTGCAGTCAAGTGATAGCTGGGATTCCTCTACGCTTCCCATAATATGGAGGAGGTGAGGCATTCATGTCACGAATTCCTATGTAGAGGAAACACCAGGTTGCATCTGATTAAATAAAACATGTGCCTAAGTGTCCAGCCTAGGGTCTGGCCCCTCCTGAGTCCTCAATAACTGCTGGCTGGTTTCTGAAATGCTGGTGAAGTGCTTATGATGTCAGCGTGTGCAGAGCAGCAGAGTGGACAGAGACTGGATCACACCACCAGCGCACTTCAGGGAGGCCCCACAGGACCCCAGGCTACTCTGTCTGGATCTTCAGCGGACTCACCCTCATAGGCTTTGGCAGCGTCTACCAGGTTGGACCAATCCAGATCCGCAGCAGTGTCAGGCAGGGGCATCAGGCCGGGGTCAGGCATGGGCTGCCTTCGGGTCTCCTGGACGTCGGTGAGGGAACTGTCCGAGGCCGAGAACTCGCCTGTAGGAAGGGATGAGAGGTAAGATACTCCTCACGCCCGTAGAAGAACCACTCAAAAACCTATGCATTTCCTATTACCACAGCAGATTTGTGAGCTATTTGCCGCCGTAATCAACGTCCAGTCCAGCAGGCCATTAGTCATCTGTTCTAAAGCTGACTGGAAATAGGAATTGGCTTCCTCCAGTCCGTCTTTGTGGTTTATAACCTTCCATCATCTCCCTTCCAGTGGTGAGTCACGGTTTCCCATGAGGCAACATGTCTGCTTTTGTGGGAGCCGTGTGTCCACACTGGGCCCAGGGCAGCTCTAGCAGCCAGCTTAACTGCAAGAGTCAAGGGATTCAGGTGGGGAAAAGAGGCCTACACTTCAACAGAGTGCTAGATTCTGGAGCCAGGCCAGGGATGTTTATTCCTATCAGAGGGGATAACAGGGCTGGCTTTTATCTGGCCTGGGAGCTGGCTGTGACCTCTGCCCGTGGACTCCCTGTATCCCTGGGACTGGTGAGGGGCAGACGCATGCCAGCGGGAGCCACTGGTTTCCATGGCCGAGTGCCTGCCATTGGGCGAGAGGTGAATCAGGTGAGGGGAGCGAGCTAGGTTACTCATAGGGAGTTAATAAGCCACTCTGTGCCGCTGAGGGCGCGCTGCTACTGCTCAAGTTCACGAAGGCGGACAACAGAAAGGGCAGGCTAGGGGGAGCCAGGGAAGACATAGCTCACGAAATGCAAGCACCCTCCATCGGCAGAAGGTGGGTGGAAACGGGGCAGAGCATGCAATTCCATGAGAAGGACGGCACTCGGAATGTGCCCGTAACATCAAAATCCACGCAAAAGCAAAACTCTCAGCTTAAATCTATAAGTGATTCTAGAAATACCTGTTTACAAGGAGTTAAAAAGTTTCATCTATTATGACAGCCTGGTAAGCCAGAGTATATTAAGTGCTTGTTTTCCCTTTCAAATTATGTCAAGAACTGCTCTGAAGTGCAGCTGCTAGTTATTAATGTGCTTAAAATTAGCAAAATTATGAGTAAATGGAAGTCAACAAATACTGCAAGACATAAAATGTTCAGTTCTATTTAAACTTGTTCCCACCAAGGGTAAGTAGGAGGAACAGATAATTCTGTGTGTCACTCAAAACCCTCTGCCCTTTTAACTCTGGGGCCCAAATTTCCATGTGGGGAAGAAACAAGTCACCCTTCCCCATCTTCAGTGGAAGTCGCCAAACAAGGCATGGAGTGCGTGAGTTAGGACATGAAGTCACCGCAGCTGCTGCCTGATTTCAGGAGAGCAGGAGGTGGTGATGGGAGAGGGCTGCCCGTTCCTTCCTCTCCACAGCACCTAGGGACCCACATGGGGCCTTAACCCCAGGCCTTCTCGGCTGGACAATGACTCTATGTGGCAGGCACATTTCCAGGCTGCTCTCTCGGAATGTAAGCCTCTAGCAGGCAGGGGCGACTTCACAAAGGGGTGACTGTTATCACTGCAAAGGTAAAATTAAAAGTGCAGGGAAATGAGAGAAGCATGCAAAGTAGGCAGAAAATTGTAGCGGCAACGGAATTCAGTGGGGACTGGCCCCGATGTAGGGCAAGAAGGGGAGAAAAAGGTTCGGGCACACTGGATCACTTCCAGGAAATTTCTTCTAGAATCTGATGGTAACGAGTGGTCATTTCAAGTGTCAACTTTGGTTCACTGGGGGCGACCTCCTAGGGCAAAGAGAAACCAGGTTTAAGCTGCAGGTGGATGGGGAATGGAGCAGGGAAAGCTGGCGTGACCCTTGCTTGACATTTGCCAGGGCCAGGAGAGGAGAAGGGGACTATGCCGCTGAGCTCAAAAATAAGGCAGGGCAAGTAGAAGGAAAAGAAACAGGGGCATGAAAGGATGCAAGAGATAGAAACACTGTGGCAGAATTTGCAGGAGGAAAAGACCAAATTTAAATTCGGAGTAACAGAACACAACCCTTAATAAATGTGGTATCTAGTTGGGTCACAGAGCAAACAGGGCACCTATGAACCAAGGGCAGGAACATGGAGGTGCCCCCACTATCAATATGCCTTTTCCTCAAATAATGCTTGCTTGCTCAATGAATGAATGAGTCAACAAATGAGTGGCTGACACCACAGGCAATGTTCTACGGCCTGGGAGAGACAGAGCAATGGCAAGTCTGGGTTCTGATCATGGCTGCAGGAAGCAGTGGCTACAACTCTCTAAGGAATAACTAGTGTTAGCCAAATTTGCTCCATCCCAACAGGAGCTGGGATGATTGATAAGAATAGCAATTCCAGGGCCGGGCGCGGTGGCTCACGCCTGTAATCCTAGCTCTCTGGGAGGCCGAGGTGGGCGGATTGTTTGAGCTCAGGAGTTCGAGACCAGCCTGAGCAAGAGCAAGACCCCGCCTCTACTAAAATTAGAAAGAAATTAATCGGCCAACTAAAAATATATAGAAAAAATTAGCCGGGCATGGTGGCGCATGCCTGTAGTCCCAGCTACTCGGGAGGCTGGGGCAGTAGGATCACTTGAGCCCAGAAGTTTGAGGTTGCTGTGAGCTAGGCTGACGCCATGGCACTCACTCTAGCCAGGGCAACAGAGTGAGACTCTGTCTCAAAAAAAAAAAAAAAAAAGAATAGCAATTCCCAGACTATTCTTTGGAAATTCCAATTCAGCGGCTCTTGGGTAAGGTCTGGGAATCTGTATTTTTAACAGACATACAGGTGACCCTTGTGGTCTGGGGTCACGGGGTGGGGGTGTTGGCAAGTGGAGATGATCTGAGATCTGAGCACAGAAGCAGGACTTCCTCCAGGGACCATTCTCTGAGCACTTGACTGGCAGCCGTGGCTGGGGACACGGGCCATCCCCAACAGGGCTGTTCAGCTGAAAGTGCACTTACCATGCAACGACTTCATTCCCAGGGTGTAAGAAGGCCTCCGCAATGGCAGAGACTTGGGGAGAGAAGGGTACGTGCTACTGAAGAGGACATCGTTGGGCAGGGCTTGGTCCAGAAGCGAAGCCCTCGAGGTGAAAAAGTGCTCCCTCTGGCCGCTGTAGATGCTCTCGTCCGACAGTGTTCTGTGCAAGGCCCGCCGTGAGGTGGGGGTGGTGGGGAAAGGAGTCTGGGGAGAGGACAGCGCATGGAACTGAAAAACAGCATGGAGACAAGAGCAAGTCGGTTTTCTGGTTCAGACTCCTGAGACCTAGGTTGGGTGGGGGAGCGTGGGGTGGCCAAGGCCCTGCTCCAGACGCGCCCCCTTGAATCCTGGAGCCCCAGCAAGGAACCTTCAGGCCCATGATCTATTTCTACACCCGCAGGGAGCTGCAACGGGAGTGCCCCGTCGTTATTCCCCGTAGTCCAGCACGCTGCCCCTATCAATGCTCCACACTCAGATATGCCATTAAGTGGATGTAGCAGTATCACGTTGTGGTAAAGAATAGCCTTTAGGGTCAAATGTCAGTTCTATTTGAATCCTGCATCTCTGACCAAATCACAGAGTCTCTCCGAGCCAAATTCCTCGTCTGTAGAAAGAGACACAACACCTCTCAGGGTTCTCATGAGGGTTAAGTGAGATGCTGGACTGATCACGGGCGTATGTCAGTGGCATGACGAAATAATGTCACGGCCCGGGGGACATCCGCAGAAGCCTGTCAAGTGATAACATGTTTTCTGGGCAACAAGAGCATTTGATCCTCAAAATATATTAACTCAGATAACAGGTGGCTCTTGATAAACAGCAACTACCAAGTTACATCCACCTAACCTTTTGAGGTAGATGTATTTCATGAGTTTGAAGGTGCATTTCTACTCATAAGAATAGAAAAGTCAGCTTTACAAATGACAAATATGTTTATGCAAAAATGACAAGTAGTTCTAGACAGATGTATTTCTTGTTGATGTCTCTTGCCTTTGTGACCAAATTTGATTTTACTTGAGATTTTTCTGCATGTAGCAAGCTTCTGAGAAGCCCTTTCATCGAGAAACAACAGACACATAAACAATATTTAAATGTCCGGCAACCTGAAAGCCACCAGAGTATCTGGCCTTTAACAATAAAGAACTGAAGCCACGTTCACTGTGACAGGAGGAACAACTCGGAGAACAGGTGAAGGTGTGAGGAGGAGGGCTGAGTCACTGCTGGCAGACAGCCACCGTGGGACTTTCCGTGACACTCTGAAGGGGCAGAGAGAATCAAGTAGCAACAGCTCCATTTAGTAGGCTGATTACAGACCCAGAAACACAGAGCTGACACTCGGGGCCATTCATGTGCTCTGGGTCTAGCTGCTGCTGTCCAACAAGCCAAGGGTTAATCAAGTCCAAGCTACCCGCAATGTGGTGTGCACAGCTGCCGCACCAGTGGGAAAAAATTATTAGCCAAACACACTGTAAAGAAGCCCAAGGTGTAACCAACTGGGTAAAAGTTTTGTGTACTTTTAAAAATTCACAATGAGTTAAATCGAAGGTATATACATATGTGCTTGTCTAGAAAGCTAAGCTGCTGCGATACTTTTCAAAGGAAAACCTGGTGTGGAAGTGACAGTCTCCTTTCTCATTTTGTGGAAAAGAGTAAGCACTGGGTTAAACAGCTTGCTAATGATAATTTAAAAAAAAAAATAAAACCAGGTATCTCCTCTATCTGCAAAGTTCTAGGACTATCACATAAGCCTTCTGCCTACCAGGCCATCTCAGATATCTGTGTTCAAAAACTGCTGCTAAACCTTTTTTAGCACCTCTGGTTTTAAGCAAAGGGATTTCATTTCACAGGTGAGACGTCCTCCACCAATTCTAGTTTCAGCCTCTTTGGGAAATATTAATATACTTAAAGGCAGTAAACAGCTATCGTGAGAAGATCCTTCGAGCATGTGCTTTAGTAGAGGATGTTGCCGTCTTTAATAAAGGGAGGCTAGAAAGTAGGACTAATGGTTTGTGCTACTGTCGGCTCACTTGCCGGATTGTACGCTGCCCTTGGGGAAAATAAGGTCATTTCAGCTCTGCCATTGTTCTTGAGGCAGGAGCTCCACAGCAGCTGCCTGGAGTCCTGTCGCCACCACCTACAGCCTGCCCCTCAGAGCCCTGCCACGTCCTGCAGCAGACACCTTGCTCCACTGGCAAATGAGCCTGGAGTGACCCTGCTATTTAATATTAACCACGGCTTATTGGCAGCGCTGGTTATCCAAGAAAGCCACTGTGGTGTGTGGGTTAGCTCCTGGTTTGATGGCCCAAAGCTGGCCAGGCCTAGTACCCTGAAGCCGGAAGCAGTGGCTTGGAGCCTTGAGTCAGAAGCGGCTTGGAAGAGCTCTTGAGGGCACGCTGGCCTTATTGACAGAGCAGAGCCATGGCCACTCAGACGATGACCCTCAGGAGACACATGGAGCTACATAGCAGAGCCATCTGTAACCAAACCAGCTAGTTCAAGGAGTATGAAACTGGAGAGAGAGACAGCCTACTCCCAGTTCCTGCTTCCAGCCTTCTCAAGGCGATGGTTTAGCCAACAGAAGCACTTTCTTTGCAGAGGTTCTCACCGTAATACATTCACAACAGAAAGAAAGTGCACCTAGTTTCAAACAGAAATGCTAAAGTAATTCACTTTGGAAATACAAGCCAAGACCTGGAATAAGGGCAAAACAGACATTTGTCTTCAATTATTTCCAGTACGTGAGTAAATCAAAAGAATGAAAGCTCCGAGCATGCCCCTTGCCAAAAACATTACAGTAGGAATTGGAGGAAAGATTTCCTTTCAAGGCAGATTTTATTTTCCTCTAACCTCCAAGGAAAAATCTGTAATAATTTTTATTTTGAAACTGGTACTTAAAAATTTTAATATACCTCTTTGGTATATTTTGATGGATAAAGAAAGAAGTTTCAAGCACTATCTTTTGCAAGGTTGCTAAGGAAACCACTTGTACCCTGGATGATGAGTCAGAACCATTAAGTGTGGGCTTATGAAATAGAACTTACAGAAATCAAGAATGGCTACATCTAGAAAATGATTTATTAACATAAGGAATCATGTCAATAAATCATTTATTTCTCAGCAAAACTCCAGAGTGGTCCCTGGGCTACATTTCATTCCTGTAAATGTTGGTTTTTCAGTTTAGGAGGTATTTCCCACCTATCTGGGGGAAACGCACACACCAGAATGGTGTCGGGAGAGCGTGGAGGCGACACCACCACGCAGCTGCTCTGCCCGGCACGCCTCCTGCCCTCCGATCACAGTCTGAAGATGGTAAGTCGTTAAGGAAATATGCTGGCTTCCATTTTCAATCAATTCTCAAAGTTCTTCTGAAATTAAAGCTTTCTAGTCACTTCAAACAGACCACAAATCATCCAACTAAGCGCTTAGAGAACAGAAAAACTTCAAAGTTTGCTGCCACGACCTTCCTGGGGGTGCGCTCCCTTCTCCTGGGGCTACTCAGTACGCCTCAGACAGAAATATCTTGTACTCAGAGTGACGTATCTTCAGGACCAGCTCAATAAATACCCGCTCAGTCCCTGTGGGCTGCAGACTGCACACGTTGGAGGACAAGGAAGCAGAGAACCTTAAGGAAGCTTCCTGGCTCCTCCAGGCTGAAGAGAGCAGAGCAAACCTTAACGTGTGGTCACACAAAGGTCTGGCCACTGCTACACACACACAAAGGCTGAACAAGCATTCAGGACTGGGGGGAGACGGGGTTTTAGAGAAGGCATTTATAGTCTGGAATTCTGACAGAGACATAGAGAAGGCTTTATGAAGGAAAGGGTGTCTGGGGAGTTCTAAGGTGTGGGTGTAGACTGAGCTTGCTGGACTGAATTGGTTTCCTGGGTGCGGGGCGGGGGCCGGGTAGTCGATGAGAATGAACATCTATCAGGCAGGTCGGTCCTCTGAGTGAAGAGCCAGGAGGTTTGCGGGCTGGGGTCAGGGAGCAGAGGCCAGGCCAGAGCACTGTGGGCACATGGGGCAGGAAGCAAGCTGGGGGCGTTTGTGAGAAGGGTCGGACCCTCTGGACAGGAGACACGGAAGCCCTCGTAGATAACTTTCTACCTGACAAGGGAGCCACGGTGTCTGCAGAGTTCCGAGAAACAATAGCATGGAAGTGATGTTCGAGAAATCACGCACTTTGAGTGGGACACACTGGAGGAAGAAACAGTTGTGAGGTAGGGACAGGTTAAGAGAAGCTAAGGCTGAAGAGATGTGGCTGCAGGGACCGAGCACTGGAAAACACTGGGTTCTACTTATCAGGAAAGTTGGATGATGGCAGCAAGCGGAGCCAGCAGCCAGTGCTTTCTGCAAGGTGTGACTACGGCAAAGGGCCCTCACGTCTGCCTTCTAATGGCTCTCTACCCCAAGCTCTGCCCTGTACCTTAAAATTCTTCTGTGATTCAGGAGTTGGGCTTTCAAGGTCGATCAGTTTCTTTAGATCCTCCTCAATGGTGGACTTGGAGGTCGGCTTAGGGGAGGCCCGGAGGTCCCTGGTGGAGGCCCGCAGCCTGGTGTGGGCTATTTCATTGCCGTCGCTCTGATGACGCCTTGCAAGAAAGGGAAGAGGAGATGGTAGAAACCAGTTAGCAAGGTTGACTCAAGGGCACGCAGTGGGCTCTGATAGATGTAGGTCAATGGAGAAATATTAAAGGACAGAAAAAGAGAATTACTTCTGTTTAATAATACATCAGAATCTACTCAGATAAATGCTTGTGAAGGAAACAAAACCAATTTGGAACACAAAATAAAACCTGATGAATAAAATCACTCTTTTATAGAAAACTATTAGTTCTACTAAGCCACAATTAGCAATAGACTTACTAAAAGACACAGGGTAAGAATCCCAAATGCAACCTCTGCACAAACAGAAACAAAATAATTGAAATGAATCATTTAATTCTTTGCTGTACTCCCTCTCTTGTCAAAGTCTTTTATTTTCAGGGGTACTCACTCACTTCCTAATATTCCCTCTGGTGCCTCCTGGCCCAGTTTAGAAGAATTACATGCGAAGGCTGTGATTAGTATCATCAAATGGATTAGTGTGGTCTTAGCACCAGAGGGTCAATTATTCTGAAGTGTGTCCTTCAAACACACTCTTTTCTAGGAGATTTGAGACTCCCAAATCCAAATGTTTTGCAGTACATCTTATTTAAGGAATGAGGCAGAGAAATAATTTAAGAAAATTTTACTTAGGAAAAAATAATCCCCTCCCACCAAACCAAGCCCCTCCCCACCCCTTAGCCTGGCTTCCTACGCTGTAAGAAACTGCCCCAACCTTTTCTATTCTCTGCCACGTTAAAAGCAAGCCACCCAGCAAGAGAAGCAGAAGAACTCTTACTTTCTTGTGTCCATAAATCCCACGGAGTTTATGGTTCCTTCTGGCTTTTTCCATCCAATTAGGTACTTGCTAGTAGCGCCCTGGCGAGGGTAGAAAGTCCTAGGACCAGAAGAGGAAGAGGAGGAGGAGGAGAAGGACGGTGCGAGCTGTGACGAGGTGGCAGGGTGAAGCTCTTCTTTAGGGGAACTTCGGGCACTGGTGAAAACCACGGGGCTGGCAGAGTGTCGGGAGCTCATGGTACTGGGGAGAGGCAGGACAAAGACAGAATGACCCCCGTGTGCACGGTGCATCTCAGGGTCACGACGTCCGCTGTAAAAGTGTTGTCCAGGGTACGGGTGATGGCTGGGTTAAACAACAATGGATTTTTCACAAAATATTAACGGGTATGGACGGCTGGCCTTCCTTGCTTTCTCACTATAATTAAATGTCTGCTCTCAAGTGACAGATGGTCACTAGGGCTTAGTGTGCACTTTAAAATAAATAAATTAAAAAGTAAAAATAGTTAAGATCATCGGGGACACTTTCAAACACACTGGCGCCACTGACGTTTGTCACAGGGAAGTCTAGAAGAAGCAAGAGCTAGGAGAAAGAGCAGTAAAAGGTCTAACAGTCTCAATGGCTGTCTGTCTTGCCTTCCTCAGAACCAGGGGTCATGGTGACACTCTCCAGGGCCAAGCCGAGGAGGGGAGAGGAGCCTGAATCAGGGACACAGCGCCCTGGACTCCCATCCAAGGCCAAATGGGCACAGTGAGTTCTCCCTCCCCATGGCATCTGGCATTAATATTGGCTCTAAAAACCTGTTCATCATTGTATTTCAAATGTTGTTAAAGATTACAAAACTAAAGTCTAAGGGACTTAAAAAGTCTAAAATGCAAGAGTTTCAAAAGCAGCACAGAACTGAAAAAGGCAGAATTTTCAAAACTGGGGATGAGAGTTTCAGTTGACTACAAAGGTGAAGGGCCATGAACTGTAGGATTTCCATACTTCCCACCCAGTGGCCTCACAGGAGCTGAGTCCTGCTGACTTCTCCAGCTTGGGATGAGACCAAAGACAGCTGACTCGTACTACACTGCACTTGCCATCACTTGAGGCTTAGTTAACTGCGTATGGTCCCAAAGCATTCCTCAACAGCACTTTCATTCATCAAAAACCAGCAGTCCTGACCCGAATAAAGTATCGACTTTGGTTAATAATAATGCATCACAATCGATTCTTTAGCTATGACAAATGTACTACAGTGATGTAAGATGATGACAACAGGAGAAACTGGGTGAGGGATATATGGGAACTCTCTACACTGTCTTTGTAACTTTTCTGTAAATCTGAAACTATTCTAATATTAAAAAGTCCTGAGATAATATGTATTAGTGAAAATGAATCTTGACAACCCCACCTCAAACTTTGCACAAAAATGAATTCCAGCTGGATTGTATATTTAAACATAGATCTAAAAATCCTGGCCGGGTGCAGTGGTTCACGCCTGTAATCCTAGCACTCTGGGAGGCCGAGGTGGGAGGATCATTTGAGCTCAGGAGTTCAAGACCAGCCTGAGCAAGACTGAGACCCCGTCTCTACAAAAACTAGAAAAGTTAGCTGGACGTGGTGGTGCACACACCTGTAGTTCCAGCCACTTGGGAGGCTGAGGCAGGAGAATCACTTGAGCCCAGGAGTTTGAGGTTGCTGTGAGCTATGATGACGCCACTGCACTCCAGTCTGTGCCACAGAACAAGACCCAGTCTCCAAAAAAAAAAATCCTGGACTACAACATGGAAGAACACCTTTATGATAGAGGCAGAGGATAGTTTCATGGGATCAAAAGGAAAGACTTTAACCCCATTAAAATTAAGAACTTCTTTTCATCAAAAGACACGGAGTAGGAGAATATATGCAAAATATGTAGCCAACAACAGGCCCCGATACAGAATATATAACTAACTCCTAAAACTCAACAAGACAGACAAGCCAAAATAAAAATGGGCAAAGGGCTGGGCGCTGTGGCTCACGCCTGTAATCCTAGCACTCTGGGAGGCCGAGGCGGATGGATTGTTTGAGCTCAGGAGTTTGAGACCAGCCTGAGCAAGAGTAAGACCCCGTTCTCTACTAAAAATAGAAAGAAATTGGCTGGACAACTAAAAACAGAAAAAAATTAGCTAGGCATGGCGGTGCGTGCCTGTAGTCCCAGCTACCCGGGAGGCTGAGGCAGGAGGATCGCTTGAGCTCAGGAGTTTGAGGTTGCTGTGAGCTAGGCTGATGCCACGGCACTCTAGCCTGGGCAACAGAGCGAGACTCTGTCTCAAAAAAAAAAATAGAAAAGAAAAATGGGCAAAGATCTAAAAAGGTGTTTCACAAAAGAGGACATCTAAGAGACCAATAAACATTGGTGCTCAACATCATCAGATACCAGGAAAATGAAAATGAAAACCACAATGAGGGACCATTACACACCCACCGGAATGGCTAAATTAGAAAGACTTATGGTATCAAGTGCCAGAAAGGAGGTGAAGTGACTAAAACTCTCATACACTGCTATTGACAGTGCTACTTGTTACAAACGCTTCAAAAAACTAGTTCAGAGGCTCTAGTAAAGTGGAACATATGTCTATCCTATGACACAGATATTCCATTCCTAGAAACTCAAAAGAAATGCATACATATGTGTACCAAAGGACACGTACAAGAATTGTCAATACCCCAAACTGGAAACAGTCCAAATACTCAACAGTAGAGAGGATAAATGGGTTGTGGTATGTTGTCACAATGTAAACATAACACAGCAATGGAAAGAGACTGATGCTACCTGCAACACATGGAGAAATCTCACCAACGTAATGTTGACACCAGACACAACATAATACATACAGTATGACTCCATTTCTGGGAAGTCCAAAACCAGGTGAAATAAGTCTAAGATTTTAGGATTCAGGATTGCGTTCACCTTGGTGAGGAGATGTGCGTGCTGGGGAGGGAACGGGGCCGGGGAGTGGTGCGGGGATGTCAGTAGTGTTCTAGTTTTTGATCTGGGTAATGATTCACCTGGGTGTGAAAATTTATCTGGATGTACGCTTATGACCTGCACCTTTTTGTGTATGTATGTTATCTGCTGATAAAAACACGCCTACAAAGAAAAGCAAAAGTAAACGACCAGAAGGAAGGCTCTGTCAGCCCATGAGACTCTGCCAATGGGGTGGGGCAGGATGCTGGTAGGGGAAGAATGAGACACAGAGCTATGATGACCTGGAGGGTTTTCCATACTATTCGGGCCAAATATAACCATCTACTTAATTTTTATAACTAGGAGGAACTAGGCTCAAACCGTGCAAAAACTATAATAATAAAAAAATGACTACTTTCATTCCAATCCCCCTAACAATTTTTCCCCCAAATATTTTTCCAGCTAGAAAGAGTGGAAGAAAAAAAAAACCCTCATAAAACCTCAAAGGGCGACATAAATTTAAAAGCTATGCAAACTTACCTCTTAATAACAAGCATCTCATATGTTTGCTTCTAAAATTAAGAAAAGGGAATGCAAAATTCTTCCACAAGTACAAGACACTAAATCAGTAAGAACGAAGTAATATTAGCTCCCTGTTATGCAAAGGAGACTAAAAGTAGAAAGGTGAACCAAAAGAAAGAAGGAAGCGAGGAAGACCCATATAGAGGCAGACGAGCTCATTAAGACAGCAGAGACCCAGACTGACAGCAACATGCATTAACACGGGGAACATCCACGGAAAGACGCTTCTGGAATGTAAGAGTGCGGCGGCCTTTGGCATAGTTTACAATATGGTGGGCTTGTGGCCATTTGTTAGTCACTTAGGGCCGAGATCTAATCTTTAGTTTGCAGAGTCTTTTTCACCTGACTATGTCTACCTCATATACACTGACAACACAGACGTGGCGATGTCTCAAGCCTCAACTCTGGTTGGTGTCTGAAGCAGATTTCAACAAAACAAAAAACAATGAATTAGGGTCCAACTTACACCATCTCCCATCTAGAGTGATCATGTGCTTGCTTTAATGCCTTGATTAGTATCCACAAGTGAGTGCAGGTGTGTTGAATTACTAGTGCTGGTCAGACTTTAGCATGCTAACATGCGGATTGCTGGGCCCCCTCCCTAACCGCCCCCCAAGATTCTGATTCAGCACGTGAGATGGGGGTTGGGGGGATGAGAATTTGCACTTTTAACACCTTACCAGAGGATACTGTGGTCTGTGACCCAGACTCTGAACACCACTGTACCAGAGGTACATTTGAATCGCCACATTTAACATTTATCAGCATCACGTATCTTGATATGATTAACACTGGTATTTAAAACTCTGGAGCCTTCAAAGACTAAATGCTTGGTCAAAATAGAAATAGCTACGAGAACAGAAAGTAAATTGCATAGTCTATTAATTTACCAATTTCTCCACATTGTGCAAAATAGCCATGCTGGTTTGAGCTGTAAGGTACATACTACACAAGGGAAAGTTAAAGAAAATGCTCAGAGATGTCAAAGGAGAGAGCAATATGTGCCGTATATATGGTTTAGGGGAGCGCTTTCCTTTCTCTATGAATTTAATCACTACCATTATTTCCCTGATAAGCATTCAATTAATTGTACTAGATTAAAAACCCTTTGAAGGCAGGGATTTTTTTTTCTGTGTATCTAACAATGACAGGAACACAGCAGACCCTCACTAAAACATCTGTTGAACAAACTATTTCTCCTTAGCATTTGTCACTGTGTAGCACGCTATATAATTTCTTTATCTTGTTTATCTTGTTTATCATCTGCCTCCTGTTTAAGTGTAAGCTTCATGAGGGCTGAGATTTTCTGTCTTTGTTCACTATTATATCCCCTATGCCTAGAATAGTCCCTGGCAACTGTAGACACTCAATATTTGATGAAGGAAATTGTCAGATAAAGATAAATTAGTTACCCATTTTAAATGGAAGAAAGAGTTATACATGATGATAGTGTATTTTACTCATACTGTGTTTAAAACTAGATGATGCTTTATTTTTACTGCAAGAAATAATAAAACCTACAAATGATGTTTCTGTTTACAAGTGTATTCTTAAAAGGATAATTGCTTAAATAAGACCATTGGCCCTGATTATTGGTTTTATCTGTGAACAAGATGGACCATACTAGCTCCCAGGTGTAAATGCCAGCACATTCTGCTCATTAATGGTTATAATCAAGACAGTCCTACTTAACAATTGATTAGATTTAGGAACAAAGGTACAAGCA